GAGGCAGCACACACACAGAACACATCATCCCGGCATACTATAAATCATAAGTGCGGGCCCTTCCCGGCAGCGATCGCTGCCAGTACTTGGCTGGAGGCAGCACACACACATAACACATTATCACGGCATACTATAAATCATAAGTGCGGGCCCTTCCCAGCAGCGATCGCTGCCGGTACTTGGCTGGAGGCAGCACACACACAGAACACATCATCACAGCATGCTATAAATCATTAGTGCGGGCCCTTCCTGGCAGCGATTGCCATCGATTTTTTATGGAATTCTGTCGACCTTTGTGGTCTGGTCAGCGGTTCTGTTGCGGGTGCCTATCATCCGTAGACGGCGGCGCGAATTCTGTAACACTTGGTTTCATTCTGTAAGGCTGTGTGGATTTCTGTAGTTGTCTATGCTGACGTCAGTATGGCCCTACCCGTTTCTGTAAAACGCTTTTTTTCTCTGTGGCACCCTCATAAATTCTGTTGATTGTACAGAATTTTAACGGAGCCAAACAAATTCTGTTGGGGACGGACAGATGGGGCCACCTCTACCTCTGGTCCGCCCAAGAGGATATGTGGTCGCCGGCTTTGAAGAAGGCCACGGATGATTGGAATGCCCGGACGCAACCTATCCAGGCGAAATGGCAGTTCGACTCAGTGAGGGCTGAGGTGCAAAGGTGGCTCCAGGGGCGCAAGCCCAAGCCAGAGTTTGATTGGGAGCCTACTCCCCCTGCCGAAAAGCATGGGTAAGCATGCGGGAGCAGGGCGCATGTGCAAAACCGGGAATCCCAGTGATGTGACAAGTGTGCATTTGATTGGCCTTTATAGTATATCAATGGGATGACCTGGATAGGCGCCGGCAACCTTACGGGGGAGTGGACTCTTTGTCTTGGCCAGAACTGGTTATATTTTGAGCTGATTAAACATGGTAAAGATAAAAAGGGATCAGGAGGTTTGAGTGAGATGGACGGTGAGGGGGTGAGGCGGCAGAGTCTTGAGGGGTATCGGAATGAGTGGATATGGGGGCAGATCTTGGCCCTCTGTATGGACCTTTTGGTGGACCCTTGATTTTGTCGTATGAACGGGATTGTTGCAATGTATAAAGTTGCTGGGGTGCGCATTGTAGCCGCCCCCGGTCTGTAAGATTTGCTCTCTTGCGACTGGTGCACCGAACAGGCTGCCTCGCCTTGTGAGTGTGGGGCCTGGGGTTCAGGCGGGTGAATCCACTATGAGGGATAAGCCTAACGTCCTGTGGTGAACGGATTCGCATGTATTTTGCTTTCGATACCGTTATACGGAGCGCACACATATTGATTTCTACTGCGCCAACCCCCAAGGTTCATGCCATGCCCAGGCACAGATCTTTACACCACAAAGGACCACAAATGTTGGTCATTTTGTGGGAACTCGAATAGTACTCAGAAAATCGCCACATCCAACCCAGTTCAAAACAAAAAAGCAAAAGGATGTTCTTGCTTTGGCCTGGTCATTGTTCTCATTGACCAGGGTGGTAGGTTCAGTAGGTCAGCAAGACAATAAAGCGCAGAGCAGTGATGAAACTGACAATGTTTCACTGTTCCTTGACCCCTACACAGTTCATTTCCACCACAAGTACACCAAGCACCTGCAACTTTTTGACAGATGGCTGATGGCCAGCCAGATGCTTGCTTGGTACAAGCAGATTCTTTCAAGCACACAGCAGGGAACTGCCCCACAACACAGGCAGGACAAGACAAGGCGTGTAGCACAACAGGTTCTACACTCCCACCCTTGCCACCAGCCAGAAACCCCCCCTCAGGCACCCCACAGGCAGCCCCATAGAGGCCAATACAGCAGAGCGCACTGTGACTCCACGATACGGGTGCGCCTGCTCGTTGGCGGTCGCCCTGTCGCATCACACGTGCAGCGGTCGCGCAGCCAGGTACCAGTCACGTCAGAATGCCCTCGACGGGGTTTACACTCCACACCAACGTTCGGTTCCCAGAACCCACGAGCCGTGCAAGCAAAATCGCAGGACCGCACAGTGCCACCAACCACATTCCCCCTTCTGGCAGCCCACTCACGGCCACTTAGAGTGGCCCATCAAACAGTAAATGGCCCCTCACGCATGGCTACCAACCTCTTGTCAAACCCACCGGCCCTTTTGGTCCAATTCCCATAGTATTTTAAATTCCGACCAGCCCCTTTCCGCCCGCCCACATGACAATGCGCCCCGCCATATCGCCTTCGACTAATTTCACTCTCCCTGGGTGCACTCCTCAGCTCGGCCCCCTCGCTCGCTTCACTCTTCTTGCCCGCCGCTGTTTCACAGCCACAAGGCCGCTCAGAATCCCCACGGACTTATCTCACGGAGGGGCCCCGGCCACCTCCGCCTAATCCTCGCTGACCGGGCCAGGCCGCTAAGGGCCTTCTGACTCCTCAAGACGGCCTGGCTCCCGCCATGGCTCACTGCTTACCTACTAAAGTCAACAGTCGCCTCCGACCAAGCGCCGCATGCCGCCAAGCTCCGCGTACCCAAAACGCCGCTCGGCGCGGCGCCATCCCCGCCAGAGCCGGTGCCATCTCGCACCGGCGCCTTAGAATGCACCGCCCCGGCCCGCCTCTCCGGCGGCAGCATGGCGCGCAAAAACTCACTATCCACGGGTGGCCGAGGCGCTCCGCCGCTGCGCCTCCCAAGCGCGGCCATCCAAGCCGCGCAATGCCATCCGCGCGGCCTCCATGGCAGCCTCGAAGCCCGTCGCACCTCCGCCAATCCCGCCGCGCGGATGGCGCAGCGCGGCGGTCGCCGCCGCTTGCGCCTCACGCACGGCCCTTTCTGTCATGCGCCGCGCCCGCCTCCGGGCCTGCGCGCCTCCTTCGAGCACGGGGGGGAGGTCCTTGGCACGCCCACGGGGCTGCGCCTCGCGCCGATGCGACTGGCATCCAGTCACACCACCGCCGGTCCGCCATATGGCACCCCGGGACGCCGAACGCACAATGTACTACCCACCGAAATAAAATACAATAATTCTGGACTACAACACTTTTCCAGTGTTGTACCTAAATACACCTTTTGATGAGGTGAACCAGCTCCTTTTTCAGGAGTTGTTTGATGGCGTACAAATCCCTTTTTCAGGGACCAAAAATACACCATTTCCAAGCAAATGCAATGCATGCTTTTTCAGCATGTTTTGCTTCAAACTAACCTCAAAATCAGTTCAGGGAATGCAGTTTCTTCTCCAGAAACTGCCCTACACCTTCCCAAATCTCACAGCTCCTTTTTCAGGAACTGTTTGATGATTGCACACATCCTTTTTGCAGGGATTCAGTCGTGCACCAGTGACAATCCGGAACAAAACATGCTTCTTCAGCGTGTTCCCTTACCCACATTCTGAACTTCAGTTTCTTGTTCAGAAACTGATTCTATAGTTAGCATAATCTCCCAACTCCTTACACAGGAGCAATACCACTTTTTCAGCGGTGAACATCTACCATACCATCCAAATTTCCAGGGCAGCGCCTCTTTTACAGCGGCAGCTGCACACTACCACTTTTGCAGCGGTAAGCATCAACCAAACGTATACAATCTTACTGGATGTACCACTTTTCAGTGGTAGCCAGTCACTATCACTTATTAAGTGATATTCAGCAAACAAAGCTATCCTTTTCCAATGACAGCGCCACTTTTGCAGTGGCAAGTAAACTCCAGCCACTTCTCCAGTGGCAAGTACACTTTGCATCAGGTCATGCACACCAAAAGGATGCACGAGCTGGAAAGTAGCATCAGCTCAGTGCCATGCTGGGGAAAGAGACATCCCAACATGTCCCTTGAGGCACATGCCTGCAAATCGAGCGGCTGGGGCACAGCCCCATAGACATACACTTGAGTGGCCCCATGGCTGGAAAGAATCATCAGCCACTAGGGCACCCTCTCATACATAGCCAGCCCAATCATGGGTATACTGATCGATCCAAAACTCCTTGTTCAGGAGTCTTTCCTTACCTTTGTCACTTGTCCAGTGACCTTCCCACATTTTTCTAGTCTTGTCACTTTTTCAGCGACATTCAGATCACCAGAATAAACCCAGCGCCTGGGACCACCGAAGAGCAGGCTGGTTGGGCAAAACACCAGCACAGCCCCATGCTGAGGAAAGATACATCCCAGCATGTTTCCTGGTGTCCAAACTACTGAGCAACATGGCCCAGAATATAGCTCTGTGACCGTTAATTCAGATCCTACCCATAGCTGGAAAGAGACATCAGCGTATGGGATCAAATCTGGACCAAAGTGATGAGATGAGACGGCCAGCAACACAGCCATCACATTCGCTTTCTCCACAGCAATATTTTAGTTGTGGGTGACCGATGAATAAGCGAACACATGCAGCCTTATCAAGGGGTAGTCCACCCTGGAAAGAGTCATCAGGTGTGGGCCCAAGATTTTGGTCGTGCACGGTTCTATTTTAGCCTTTTTCAGGCCAGCAACCTCTTAGCCTTGCGCAATTGGCTTTGAGGCTGGACACACACCCAAACTGGGTGGTATCCTTACTCAGGACACATAGCCCCACCAGATATTGAGAGCCGCGGTCAATATTGGTGAGGCAGCTTCTACTGAAATACTCTTGCTGCATAGGGTGTCGCTCAGTCGTCACCAAGCGTCCCTTGAGGCAAAACTCCTCTCAACTTTTATGACCAGCTTGCTATCTCACCAAAAAGGCAAGCCCTTGACCAGTTTTTGTTTTTGTTTTTGCTATTTTCTCTTTCTAGCCGGTGGTGGCATACTCGGGCCATCCCACACAGTCAGCATGCATGTCAGACGTGAGTCCCTCGCCAGCTGAATCATAAGTGACTCACCCAGTGAAACGGTGGTCATTATGCAGCTGCGCGAACAATGTTCAAAAAGGTTGATGCTCTCACAACCCGCAGACGCCCACCTTCGTGCCCCAACAGCGCGGCCCAGGCGTCGTTTCTGGGCGGAAGCTCTGCCGCCAGGGAACCGGACGGCACACGGTTGGGCTCCGAACCATGAGGGCGCTGACTCTGGTGGTGTCTCTGAACCTGCTGCTGGGGCCGTGGTTGATCTGGGCGCAAGGTGAAGACGACGGAAAGGTAGGGCGTGCAACTGCCATCTAGCGGAGGCAAAAGCACTCCCTGTGAATGCATCCCTGTAGCCTTTGCGCTGCGATACACCAGCCGCAGTCACAGCGCCTCCGTGGAAGATCGGGAGCAAATTTGGTGCCTCCACTGGAAGGGATCCTTTTGGCGACGGTCGCAGCTGAGACACCGTGTCGCGTAAGCTCCAGCGAGCAAGGGAACAGCGGCAGCCTTCGGCGCAAAATGGATCCTATGTGCTGCTCATTGTCCTTCATTCTCTCGTAGGTGACGTGCGGCAGCGTGGTTAAGGTGCAGCACCAAGCGACACGCTTCAGGCTGCACTCACACGACATTCCTTATGGGAGCGGAAGCGGACAGCAGTCAGTCACCGGTTTCGGGGGAGGTGACGACAACAACTGCTATTGGATCGTCCATGGAACCGAGGTGAGGCATTTAAAGATGTGGTGTTGTCGGCTGCTGTTCGTTGCTTCTGGCTGTCTGTCCTGGCATCAGGCTGTTGTTGAGTTGCGCTTGTTGATGTTTTCCTGCTGCCTCTGGAGACTACCACAGCGTGCGCATGATATTGAACTACATGTCCAAAAGCTTGCAGAGGGAAAGAGTAGTCACTGTGCTTTACATTCACTATCCACTTGCCTGAATGGTGCCTTGTCGGTCTTCAAAACTGTGTTGTGACTTCAATATTCGAGGATGTGGCAGTGCACATCTGCATGAAAATTGGGACACTTGAAACAGGCTTTGGCATTTTTCTGGACGTATAGTTGTGTTGAACTACTGAAAGGAGCGGACATGTTCTCTACTGCAAGTTGTGTCAGCAGGTAGCCATTGGAACACAATTTGGAGGTGCAGATCAAATCTGATCCCTGCTTATCCATGCACACATGTGGGCCTGACCTTGGGTGTTTTGTCGCTGGGACAGGGTGAACCCTGCAGTCAAGGAGAGCCAATACCAAAGGGCAGGACAATTCGTCTTCAGCATGCACGTACACGAAGGTGGCTGCACAGTCACTTCCACAGATCGCCATTGTCACGCAATCAAGAGGTAAGTGCGGTTAACTGTGCCAAGTGCTGTGCTTCTGAAACGAAGAACCATTGCCCAGCCAAAGTCAAAGCATTCTCTGAGCTTCGCCATCCCAACGAGTGTTCCCTACTGTTGTGCGAGAGTTATCAATAGACAGCACAGTGCTTTGGCAGGTGACAGTGGCATCTCTTGGCATTGCATATTACTTGCCCTCTATTGTGTGGCCACTGCCTTTTCCAAAACTCTATTCTTGCTGCACACTTCACATTTGTTCCCTTAATACTGTCTGACATACAAATCATGAGTGACAAAGACTGAGCACTTTTGGCCTGAATGCTGTCTGCTTTCGCATCTTTGCAGATAAGTGCCTTTGGTGGAGATGGAGACAGCGATGGTGGAGATGAGTGGATGATAGAATGGGACGACAGGAAAAAGTTCTGGATGAGGGATATGAAGGTGGGAGCCATCAGTACACACATTGTGTGACTCCATATTCATTCATTGCATGGTGTGAGCCTGCATGACCTTCTACTGAACAGATTGGCCATGATCGTCCAAGCCCTGCTTGGAACGATGTGAATATACACAGATCTGGATGTGCTGAAGGGCGTGTGCTGTTGTGCAGGTTTATTTTAAACATGTGGAAACTGGGGCATACCTGCTAACACATGACCGGAAGTACTCCAATCCAATCCCAGGACAGCAGGAAGTGTGTGGCATACAGAATAAAAAGGACAAGAACACGATATGGTTTGCAGGGGAGGGTGTGTACTTTCCGAATTCACAATCTTCTGTGCACGATGAACTGTAACAAATGAGGCTTGCGCCTCAAGTTTGCATCTGGGATACATGCCTGAAACACTGCATTCAAAATGTCTGTGCCCACAGCACTGTTATATGGAGTTCAGAGGGGAGAATGTTGCTGTCGTCAGAGGCTGAGCGGTACTGCAGGTGCATACTGTGTGGTGCAAAACTGGTGCCGGGCTATCCTATTTGCGGAATGGTGTGTCCCCATGCACCTGAGCCAATATGCTTTCTTGACAATCTGCCATGCTGGGTGTTTGTGTGTTGTCTACCCTTGAATCCGCACCGATCGTAAGTTGCTGTGCCAAGCATCTAGCGATGCCTGAGAAGTTGTCAATCAAGAATATATGTATTTCCAGAATCCTTGTGACTGCTGTCTGCATTTCTATGGTCGCATATAAAAAAGAACTTTGATCCAGGCTGTGTCTTGTGCATCGTTGCTCCTGTGCAACATGATCAAATGCAATCGCTGGTGTCCTCATCCATCCCTTCTTCATCGCATGCACCAGCCTGAAATCGCGTCGATGCAGCATGCACTGGCATGGAGTCTTCACTGTTGCCATCCTCAGTATCGCTTGCATCTGTTGAGCTGCCAGACAAGCTGTCTTCCACCCTGGTTTCAGCCTCTATCTGCAGTGTATTAAATGTAGTTATAACAGTATTCAACCAATATTGAAACGCCATGGGTGCAGTGCATGACAAAGCACATGCCATTGGTGGGCATGTCAGCGCGCACGCGCACGCGCACGCGCACGCATGCACGCACACAAAACGATGATGGAATGGTGCAAGAACAACATTAACACCTTAGAAACACAAAGTGTAACTGACCTGTGATGCGATTTGCTGGCCTTGGAGATTTTTGTGCTTCAAGTTGCCCATCCAGAACGCTTCTGGCCGATTTACCTTGTGGAAGAAAGCCTGTGAGTTCAACGGAAGCAGCTCGTTATCGTAGGTGTAGGCTGCTTTATTGTGCAAAGGCAGCAGCGGCTCCAGCAAAAGAATGCAACACTGCAACAAGAGTGGCCAGCTTTGAATGGGGCTGGCCAGCAGCCGCTCTTGGCCATGAGCATGTGCTGCTGGGACAAGGGAGGACAGAGCCCCAGATGGACTTGGCAGACAAGTGCACAACATGACCAGGAGCGACTGCAACACACACCTTGATCACAAAAATGAACCTTTCCAGGACTCGTTTTACTGCTGGAACCTGCAACGAAGAAAACCACCAGTCGCAGCATGCTCCATGCACAAAGGCACAGTAGCACACAGTGCTACCTTTCGGACGTGACTGAGTTGGGTAATTGCTGGCAATATCAGGAGCTGGCAACCACTGCTTGATATTGAAATGGTTACGCTTGGGCTGCAGCAGGGAAATCAGATTGGTGAATGGCAATGCCAAGGACAATAATGCATACTCCAGATGGTGAACCACCCCAAAGCACGAGTCAATGCCACAAGTTAGGTGCAACGCCCCCTGCAGAGGACTATCCAGCTTGCCTTGGTTGTAAGGTTCATCGCCTTCCGGCTCTTTGCCTCTGAGCAAAGCGCCTGAACGACCTTGGTTGCCTTTTGCATTTCCTTGACCAGGGACACGAATTCGCCCTGGTGTGCAGCGTACACATGCTCCCAGAATGGCATAGTCTTGATGAACTCAGCCACGAATCGCCCGCTGCACTTGACAGTCACAGCTGGCACCTTCAGCAACATGCTAACAGTTGGTGCAGCAACAGCAGGCATGAGAAAACAGACATGCATGCTGGGACAACGGAGCAGCATGGCATGTGACAAGGGTGCTCCCCAGATGAAAGCAGCGACAACCCCACCTGAACTCGCGTGGCATGCGCTTTTGCCAATTGAATGAGGGCATTAAAAGCGGCTACGAATGCGGCCGTGCGCTTCAGACAATTGTCGATCTGGTGCAGATGCACAGACATGCATCAAGTTGGAAATGTGCCAAGAAAGGAGTCATTCGTAGCACAGGACTTTGTGCAACTGCAGACACAAAAACCTAGGGCACGTTGCTGGCACCAACGAAATTCCAGCTCTCAGCAACGGGAACAAGAATTTCACACCAGCACAGTTCCAAGAACGCACCGGCCATCCAACAGCTCACAGCTTCAAAAACGCTCCATATATTGATCTTCAGTTTCGAAGTCTGTCCTTATCCCCTTGGGTTAAAACAGCCTGCCTGTTGTGGTGAATGCTGCCAACATGGAGTTTTAGGAATATCTGCATGCTGTCAGCATATCAGGGTGCCCTCTGCATGTCAAGACCCTCCAAGCAGGCAACCAATGCTGACGGCACCCACACTTTGCTGTTGGCACCACATGGCTGAAAATGTACTGACTCTCTTCCCTCCTCCATATCCTGCTCTTGATACAACCTGCCCCATACAGCCTGGCATCGCTTTCAACAAAAAACACATTTTCAGTGCTTCGTAGCCTACCTGTCCCCAACATCGCCTCTAAGGTGCAAGGGCAGTGTTTTGTCCTGTTTACGTGACAAATATAATCAAAGAAATTGAGCCTACCTGTCTTGTAGACGACGTGTTTGATCGGTAGTGCACAAGCAGCTCAGAGCAGAGTTCTTCCCATGAGGATACCAGCTCTTCGAAAATTGCACGGAACCAGATTCCAAAAGTGGAAGTAGTCAACGAAAGGTAAGGCACTTCTTTGTCAGGGCTTGATGGCGGTCTTCCTACTCTCCCCAGTTGAGTATGTAGGAGATCAACAATCGTTTGAATTGGGTCATCGCTGTGGGATATGCGGAGTCGAACAATCTCTGACAGCTCACTGTTATGGCCTTTCCAGTCATAGCCTGCAGCACAATATGGCAAGCTTTGGAGGGATGATGCACATTTCATTTTGCAAATAGTGTATTCCATACCATGGGCACCTGCCTCCTGTTCCAATATCTTACTCTGCTTTTCACGTTGTGAGACTTGTGTTGTCAAAGTGTATCAACGAGATCATGGACAGCTGAATTTAGCAACATGCAAGAAACAGGCCCTCTGCGGCAGGAACACAGTGGTAGGTCGATGTCATCAGGCCACACCACGCAGTCCTGCTAGCAAGCAGGATTCGACGCGCTTAGTCCATGCCCATTCGATCTTACCCTCATGTTCAAGGACTGCCCCAGTGGCTAGGAACACATCGTGTCTCATTTTGTCCGCCATCTGCTGTGCTGCAGTGGGGCCTGTGGACTCTCCTGCAGCACAATTTGTGCAAGGCATGCATCATTGACTGACACATGCTGTCACTGCCACTGCAAGAAAGCAACAAAAGCACAAGCACACACATTTGGCAGGAAAATATCCAGCAGCACTTGCATACCCTGAGGACTATTCACTGGCCAGGTATCGTGCACACTGTCACCGCAGGTCTCATCATAGACGTACACATCGGTCCTGAATTGCATAAGTGTAGCATTTGAAGAACACATAACAAACACAGTGCCACGAATTCAGCCCGATGACAAATAGCTTTGTAGAGGTTATGATACTTCCCGACGGCAGCAACACCTTGGAAAGCAGTTTGTAGAACAACATCTGTCTGCGTGTTCCGTTTGCCATGTTGTCAGAAATACAAGACAAATAAAGGCACTTGGAGAAGCGATAATGAAGCATTTGCCTGTGTTTCAGAATCAAGTGCACCTGCTTGCTTGGATGTCTGCCCCAGTGCCCCCACAAGAGCCTTCATCGCCCTGAGAAGCTCAACCTCCACTTGCAGCTCACACTCAAAACACTGCAACAATTCCATCAAGTAGTCCATGGCCTTGTGCCCTTCTTCAACCACCTGTGGCAAGTTCCAAATGTACAAACAATGGATGCTTTGGGTTTGTCCATGGAAATCAGGAACAGTGTCATACGAACTGGTCCCATTGGTCTAATTGGTTCCCTTGAGAGAAGATACACAGGCCTTACGAGACATGTTGGTCTGAGTTTACCACTGATAGTGCACATGCAGACACCTGAACAATTCTTGAGGATCACCTTTAGGCGATGGCACTGTGCAACAATGATGGCTACAGCAGCACCCCGTAACTATTCATCGTCAATTACACTGCAATGCACCATTTGATGCTACCTTCTGGATGTCTGATCTTCCACAAGATTTCCTGCTCTGCTCAGAGCAGCGTACGCTCATGGAGGCTGGCGAGTTTGCACCATGCAGAGTGTCCACAAGGGCAAGAGGATCTTCAATGGCAGCAGCCGTGCCAGCACGGAGCAATGTGGAGAAGCAGTTGATGCAAGTGCGAGCAACACTGGGTCAACCACATCGCAATTCCATTAGCTGCCTGGCCTCTCAAGTCATTTTCGTCCAGTCTCATTGATGCATAAGGTGACATTCCAGACAACATCAACAATCCAGACGTGCGCACTCAGTATTTGTGCTGGCAACTTGCCAGGCAGTAATCCACAAGGAGAACTAAGAAGGAGCCTTTTGGGTAACTTGTTATGAGCACATAGAATTCAGAGGCTTGCTGTTGCAGGATCTCCATGTCATACCTCAGAGAACATCTTTCCAGACCCGTAGCTGCTTCTGCACTGTGCAGTCTGCTGAGAACATCTAAGCCAGCACTGTTGGCAGCATTCGCTTGGTTCGGTTCCAGGTTTTTGCCTCTTTCTGTGGTGGCAAACAGAATATATTGTTGATGAAAAGCAGGTAGAGTAACTTAGAGATTTGTTTCAAGATGGTGGGCCACAAGTAGCTGACACTGACCACTGCTAGGGCATCCATGTGAATGAAGAAATGGGAACATAGGGGGCTGCCCACATCGCAGCAAGAAAATTCAATCGTGTGCACCACAAATCCAGCTGTGCACACACTCACCATTTCTTTTCTGTCGCTTTGCAACATGGACTGCAACATCAGTCAGCCTTCGGACAGATGCTGCACACTTGCCAATCTCTGACAATGCAGCCTGTGCCCAAGCTCTCCCTCCTGTAAGTGAGACATAACTGTGAGCTGTCCAGTCCTCAAGCTGGGACATTTGAATCCCTTTCTGCAGCATTAAAGGGAAGCAGCCAGCATGAGTTCGAATAACAAAGATTGTTGCACCCTGATACACCATCCATGGAGCTGTGCAGCAGCAAGCTGGAGCTGCAGCACAGTTGCAGGGCTGTGGGCGGCACATGCACAGCAGTGTCGATACCATGCTCACAACATTGGTGCTGACTCAGTCTTGTGTGTCCGCATGTGACTGCTACCTTGCTTCATTCCCTTTTTGTCGATCAGGCAACCAATCTGCGACTTGACATCCAGGATGAGGTACAGGCATCCAGGAACCGAAAGAGGCAGATTGGATGTCAGATCACTCTTGGCAATGGCATGGAGAACCTCCCATGGAAAGTGACGGTACATCGCCTGCCCCAGCAAACTGCCACAGCAGCAGACAATGGTGATGTGAGTTTTCTTACATTTGCAAAAAAAGCTCAGTAATGAAATATGCAGTGCGACCAGTGCTGCTACTATGTGCCAACAGGCAACAATGGTGCAAGTCAGCTAGTGTCCATTCTCTACGCACATGCCCAAGATTGCCATCACTCTGTAAGCGCCTGCCTTGGTTGCAGGATAAGGCTGTACTGGCCTGTGACTCTTTCATGTCCTGTGCTAAGTAGCTCAGATGCGTCAATTACTTCTGTGTGAATGGCCAATACCTTCATCCCTCCTCTCACCCCTCCCTGTTTTACTGTTCCTACAGCCACGTGTTGCACAAAGTATTTCTCCTGACCATAGTTCCCAACTTTTTGCTGCAATGCAGTACAACGATTGATAGCAGCCACACTGACATTGATGCCACTCGCTGCAAAACGTTTGGGCCATGGTATCACCTCTTTGTCTGTCCCTCCAGACGTGTAGACTTGCTGCCACACACATCTGCCTGCATGAAACAGCTTTCAGCAGGGTCGCCGGCCAGCCAAACGGGGATCCGGGGGAATTATTCGACTCTGCAACACTGCTTGGGAAAGGCACTGGAAAAGCACCCAGTTCCAAGAGTCAGCTCAGCCTGTGACTAGGGGCAACAGTACAGCTGGGCGGCGAGCTCTTTGCCACCACTTTTGCGTTCTCCTTTCAAAAGTCGGACATGGCTAACAACTCTTTTTCTGTGCATCTTTACTGCCAAATTGGATTCATCTGTTTCACAGATTGCAAGCCAATGGTGAGACACAGCAGAAGTCATGCATAGCCCACACATGCCTAAAAAATTGGCTCTCACACCTTCCTTCCTGCTGACTTAGCTCCTACTCGCTGAGCACCATTCAGCACACCCTGCATGTTTGGCAGTTTAGTCAACGAAGGTGATGTTGTCAGCACATCTTCAAGAACAGCTTGAAGTTGTTGGAGCTGGTGCAAGCGGCTCAAAATCTTGGGGCCAAAATCGAAGGCGCCATCAGTAGTTCTGCAACAACACCACTCCGCCATCTTGTTGTGAGGGAGATGCCTCCTGCACAATTGTTAATGCCGACATCTACAGACAATTGTGCCCAGCGATGACATATGCACTGGCAAGAAGGGGATACAAGCATAGCACGGCAAGTACAGCTAACATCTTGTTGCATGCATACTGACAACCACATCTCATATTTCTTACACAAACCTCACAATGACAGTCTGTTGGCTTACAGCTCTCACAGTATGGTAATAAGATAAAACACTGGTAGCTAATGTGGTCGGCAACAGTGCAAAACTTTCCATGAAGCAATTTCTGTGGGTCACCGTTTTCTATTGGCAAGGTTGTGCCGCACAAACTCTTTACAGGTGCTTGAGTGGTACTATGGCAGTCATGTGTGTCTCTGTGTTACAAATTACTCTGTATTACGGCTCTATGATGAGTTCTGACTAGTCTGCTGCCACACATTGCTGCACCAATTTTTTGTTGCAGAAGTGAATAGCTTGTAGCAAGAGTGGTGGCTACTCCGCACACCACCATTTTCATGGCAGTGCCAACAGCTGATTTGGCAGTGCTCCCCAGCAATGTAGTAAATGCACTGAAAATTTCTCTGGCTTGTATCGTATTGTGCAAATTCCACCCAATCAAACGAAGAAGCAAACCCTGGCCAAAATCCCATTCGTTTGTTTACACTTAAGTGGCCAACATACTCAAAATAGAACTTTTCTCATGCAATTCATGGTTGTCACAGCTGTCAAAAGATGTTACCAAACTCTGCCCTTGCACCAATCTGCTCTCACAAGATATTAATTGCATTCATGAACATGTTAGCAAGCAACATCCACACATTTTATCAAGAAGATCGAGGAAACTTACTCACATCCCACTATGTCCTTGAGAATGGGGTCCAAATGCAGCCACCACCTCCCTCAGCCATGCAATGCCAAAGAATAAACAGTTCACAACAAGCTCCTGCTGTGCACAAGCAAGGCACCCCACATTGATGGCCCATTCAAGGGGAACCATCTGCAAGGGACAACCCAGCACTCCATCGATGCCATCCAGGTTGCCTTCCTGGCAGATCTGTAGCCGTGACAGCAACCTCAGAGCTGGGCACAACCACGCCACAGCTGATCGTTCTTGTGAATCGACTGACGCAAGCATGCTGCACATCTTCACACAGATTGACGACTTGCTGCCATCAAGGTTGAGCCAAAGCTCTGAGTCAAAGGTGCCAATTCCACAAAGGTCGACATTGGACATTTCATGTGGCAGACCCTTGTCGTGGGTGTCCCAGTCAAGGTCCATGAGGAAGGTTGAAGAGAATAGCTCCTCCACTGTGTTCTGTAGACTCAGCAGCGCAGTCTTTGGCAGCAACAAACCGTCCTCCAGTGCATGGGCCAATTCCTCAAACAGGAGGGCAAGGCAGTGCACAGGGGCCCTATATTTCCAGGTCTCAAACAAGTCTTCCACGGCCTTCCATGCTTCACAGATGTCGGGATCTGTGCTGCCAAGAAGGGGTTGTCAGCAGGTAGTCAGGCTGTGGGCAACAAGAAACATGCACACACAAGGGTGTGCGAATGCAACCAGTGACTATTGCCCAAACCTGGTAAGTGGATTAACTCATCTAACTGGCAACATTATTTGGAAAGGATGAACACCAAGATTCTCAATCTCTGTGATCTGTTTTTGGTGAAAGTGGTGAAGAACTGCCACTGCAGCTTTAAGGCGATGTTTGGAAGTACAATTTTGCAGCTTATCTGCTTCCAGCACGCTGGTGAACAGCGGGAACCAGATTGTTTGGAATGCAGAGGACAGCCAGCAGCAAGTCAAGAATGTCCACACTTTTCAAGTCAGTGTGGGCATACCCATGTTCTCTTGAGAATTGCAGGCAGTAGATCCCGTCTGCAGCTTGCAGGTAGCCATGGCAACTGTGCCAATAATCCCCACACGTCTGTGCATCAAGCCAGGGCTATCTAGGCACTTTCTGATGGTGATGGACACCTGGTCTCCGAGTCGACCAACACCTGAGGGCCCCATAGAATTGCCAGAGGGAGGTGCACCAGTAATGACCAGGAAAAAAACACGAAAGACCTGGGAAAGTAACAGTGTGTTTCAATGTCCTCCTCAACGCGTGTGGTGATCCGAGTTCCGCTGCCTCATCCAGTCAAGAAATACTTGAAAACAATACATACTTACACATTGCCAGTGGCAATGGAAGCAAGGGCAAAGACATATCCCAGCATCTCTCGGTGAGCACGCCTCAGCAAAATACCTTACTATAGATAACTTGATTCAGACAGTCGAATTCTGCATAGTCATGGAAATTAATGGCCAATACAGCAATGTGCTACAGCAACACGACCGCCAATGCAGACAGGGTTCAAGGTACTGTTTGCTTGTTGTCAGGAATCTTTTGTGGATTGTAAGCCAATTGTGTTGTGGGCACACTGTGCTCTCTGCACACATCCCACGAAAAAGAAATGCCAAATAGTGCACCTTCTGTCCTGATATCCCAAACCTGTATCCACAGAACAGGCCTCTGGGGTACACTGTGGAGCCTAGATTGATCACAATTCTTTAAGACTGAAGTGATAGTTGCCTCACCAATCGCAACTGATGTTCATCAAACCTCTCAATGTAGTCCAGGATGTTTGCAAGGTAGGCACTAAACTGCACCAGTGAGCTGACGTGGGTGGTTGCAATGCCTTCAAGAACAGTTAACCCAGCTGTGATCTCCTTCTCTTCACCAGAGCCAATGTGCCCATGCAGCGCATGAAGAACCTCCTGAGCAATGGCAGCTAGTTCACAGCCAATCCTAGGACTCTAATCAGCCCAGGAAAACATATGCAAATGCACACACTGTGGAATTCCACAGAGTATGCAAAATGCTGTGAACAACAGAAAAAATGATCGTTGCCATCAGGCTCACCTTAGCAGGACACTTAAAAGCTCGTTCATGAACTGCAGATGCAAAATGAGTCAAAGCAACTTTGTCCTTGGGCTTGCAACACAAGGACGGTTTTTTGGTGCAGTACAGAATGAACCAGGTTGCAAACAGTGGGCATTGCTTTCAAATCAAGGAGCCCTGTGAATCTCTCCACACTGCTGAGAAAATGCAGAGAGTCTGTGAGTGCATGTACATGGAACACCAGAACAAAATGCAATACTTGTGTCTGGCCCGTTCACTGGGACACAAGTTCAGAGGCAACTGTGAATTTCAACAAATTTATATAATGCCACCACCCTGTTTGGTGCAAGAGTAGGTCTCCATCCAATCATTGCAACACATGCCTCAACCACAGGAAACAGGCAGCCAAAGATGCCATTGAAAAACGAATCCAGAATGCAGTGTAGTCCCACCAGTTCCCCATTCACCAATAACCCATCCACCAAGGTGGACATCTCCCACATCTTCTCATAAAAGAGCCAGGAATTTTTTATCGGAGTCATCACAAAATTCCAACATATGACAGCAGGAGAACGTACTGGATGAGCCATTGATCGACATTGCACAATAGAGTACTGCCAGTCTCCCAAAGTTGCCAACTCAGCAGTTGACATGCAAGCGCATGGTGGCATGACAGCTCTTGCAGCTGTGACAGGGCAACGAGCCTGTCCCCCTGGGGCACATCAATCAGTGGCTGGTCGATGTGACGGCTCCAGCCCTGGCCCAACAATGTGCTTGGCATCGCAAAACAAATAAGTGCTGCATGGCAGCAGCCAGCATATTTACATGGCACATAGAAAAGCAAACCTACATCAGAAATACCCTTTGCTTTCGTTCCTGTCATCTATTCACGTTCTCTGTTTGTGTTCCTGCTCATTGAGTACTTCCTGCTGCAAACTTACATGACAGGGGTGTCCACTGTTTACCCTGGAATTCTACTTTCTGAACTTAGCTTGGACCAAGGTGTTCGATTAATGCAGAGTTGAACAAGCAACACCCCGGAACTCATTCCATGTCAATTTCCTAGATGCACAGACAGCTCCTTGGGTTGTCCAGGGAAAAGTGGGGACGCATTGATACAATGTTTACATGCTTGCCTTGTGCTTATTGCTCAACATCGCCAGATTTATGGAAGGGCATCGTTTGTCGTGTTTGGACAAATGGAAGAGGATTTCTCAAGGCAGCTTGCCCCAAGTTGACAATAATAGTGGAACAGCACTGTTGTTCTTCAGTCAAGTATGTATTTATGATAACTTGGCAAACAGGGTGGCTCAAACGAGCTGCGATGCAGGGAGAGAATCGCACCTGGCGGTGGTATGAGCGGTGGAACTCGCAAAACAGGAGCTTGTAGAGATGTGCTCCAGATCTTTGGAGAGGCTCTTCCATGTCTTGGCACAGTAATTTGGCAATGGCCATCAGGCTGGGTGCTATGCCCCACAGAGCATTCTACCAAGCAGGACCCCATGCAGGACACAGATTTCAGCCAATAGTGTCAGGCTACAATGGACATGCGTTTGCAACACACACACACACACACACACACACACACACACACACACACACACACACACACACACACACACACACACTGCGCGACCTCCCTGCTCCCTCTGGGCCCCGGGGCCCTCTGCGCCTACGCCGTTTCTCCATGGAACCTGAGGCCTCTGCAACCGTGGCGTGGGCTGGGGAGGGGGGGCTGCCGTACTCGCCGTTCGCGGCGAAAGCTCCCCCCTTCCCCTCGGACAGCCCGCCCCTTTCCGACGCCGCCAAGGCCGAGATGGACGCCCTCCTTGGGCGCTGGCTGCCCTTCCTCGATGGGCAGTCCAAGGCCTGGCTTCTTGCGTGCTGCCACGACGTTGGTTTGCCTGGGAACAACAACGACCCCAAGCCGCGGCTCATGGCCCGCCTGACAGGGTATTTTTGGCGGGAGGCGGAGGGCTGGGTCCGGGCGGCAATCGCCGCGAGGGGCGGTGCCCCTGGCGTGGATCCGGCGGCCGGCCCCTCCGAGGGCCAGGCCCTTGTTCCGCGCGTGGATTCCCCCCCTCCTTCTGCACCTCCAGGCGGGACGAGCAACCCGGGATGCTTTTCGCAAGCTGCGGGTGCACCTTCCGCCCCCTCGAGCCCCGCTTCGCCGGCGGGCAAACGCCCCAGGGCGGATGCTCCGCCCTTCCACCCCTCGTCAGCTACACCCCCCGCTGCCCTGCCCCTTCCAGCGCGGCGATTGCCGCCGATCAGCCGGCCCCGCTGCGGTGCCATGGGCGCTGGGGGCGCTACCTCGGACCCCGCCTCCCAGGGCGATCCAATGGGGGCCCGCCGGCGCTCCCATGCCTTGGCATCCGTGCGGCCCGCCCGCCTGGACGAAGTCCTCGAGCTCCAGGAGGAGCTGCGCCGCCGCCAAGCTTGCCTCCGGGGGCTGGCCGACTCCCCCGCGGAGAGCCCAGGGGAGCTGCGGGAAGCTGTGGGAGCGGCCCTGGCATCGATCGCGGGGCGCCCCGTCGCCATGTCGGACTGCTGGCGGGTCGGCCGCTTTGCGCCTGGCCGGCCTCGGCCGGTGATTGTGCGGTTTGACGTACTAGCGGAAAAGGTGGCCGTACTTAGGGCCAAGAGTGTACTGTATGGGGGGGGCTGCCCGGCGGACGTGGAGGGCCTGCGCCTCTACCATGATTTGTCTGCCGGGCAGTTGGATTGGAAGCGCCGCCTGAGGGCGGCTTATGAATTTTTCATTCAATCTGATGTCCGGGCCATGTGGCGGTGGGGGTACCGCCTGTTTGCCCTGCAAGAGGGAATTTGGGTTGAATACTTTCCCAGCTCAGTGTTAGTCGGGCATTAGAGGGCATTTTGCCCTTCTAACTCTACATTGGGCTAAAAAGCTGCATTCTCTTGGGTTGTTTGGGTCTGTGTGCATGGGTTCTTGGGGCCAATTCGATTGGACAGGGTTTCGGGCTCTAGGAGACTCGTCTTGCACTGTGTTTTCTTGTACTTTGCCACTTGCTGGGCGCGGGAGCTTTTTTGTGGCTACCTTCTAGTTTTTGTTTCGCTTGGCTGTCTGGCATCCTGAGTTTGGACACTGCGATAAAACACTGACCATGCCTGTTTGACACTGAATGCGACGCCAATGTGTGCGTCTTTGTGCTGTCCCGGGGTGCCTGCTATATCTCCTGCCGTGAGTGTGGAGGCAAAGTGGGATTCACACCTCGTCTGCATGTAATGAATGAATCTTGACACACACACACACACACACACACACACACACACACACACACACACACACACACACACACACACACACACACACACACACACACACACACACACACACACACATCGAACAGCATCACGAAATGCATGCGCTACAGCATACAATATCAACATACAGTACAAGGACATGTAAGCTGTTCCATTATTCGAAAACACTGGTCGCTTCCCACAATTGGCTCCTTTCCAGGCAGGCCATGTTCCCACACAGGTCATGATTCAAGAGTCACTGATACATTGCAGCTTCTAATGCTCATGTATTGCCAAATGCGCTAAAAGGCAGTGGCTTGTTGTGTGCTTTGACAAATGTGGTTGATAAAGATTCGTGCCACCCTGCAGTTGTGGTAGAATGCTTCCAGTATCTTTGGCACTTTCCCTCGGATTGCAAAATTCCATCATGCTTATGAGCTGTTAACTTAAGAACAGTGACACCAACTGTCATCATTTAGGCAGAACAACTCCGCAATAAAACTGGAAACAGAGCAGTGCACCATATCCAACAAGCTCTTTGAGCAGCAAAACATAACATACAGAAGAATGACCATCCAAAGACTAGCACTGCTCCTTGCTGAACAATTCTTCAAGTCAGCAGCCTACTGTGTTTCAGGTATTATCACCTGGTGGCCAACAATGCTCTCTGCAAACCAACACAGGCTGACTCTGCCGCCAGCCAGTTTTCGCTTCAGCAGCCTTCCTGCAGATGTCCCATGTCCTCCCCCAAGGGAGTGAATGAGCATCAACCACCAAAAGTCTATGACTCGTAGGCCTGCAACAACATGCCATGGTTTGATCACAGATTTGCCATGCCCCACATTCCACACAGCCAAAGCCATTCAAACAGAATATTGTGGATTTGCAACAAAGGCACAGATCTGTTCCAAGGTCTGCACTATCCAATGTGAGTATCAGCAATGGAATGCAAGGTATCCTGCTGTCACAATATTTGCACCTGAAGGAGGCAGATTTTTTAGGATGGCCAGGATGGCGTCTGTCACCAATGGTGCCCCTCTCAGGGCCGCTTTCATGCACTCCATCAACTTCGCTTCAGAGTCAGAGCTGGCAAGCTGCACAGGAGCCTTGCCCTTGTGATCATGGACTGCAGACAAACACACCCACAGTTGCATTAACAACCCCAAAGTATTCTTACCCATAGTAGCATTTTGTCACATGTTGCACAGCCCTCACTGTTAATAAAATGATTTGTGACACATCGCAATAGTTTAAAAGATGATACTTTATTCTATGGGAAATATTGAACCATGGGGGCCCCTTGCCAACAAACTGTTTGGAAGCAAAGCCGGTGCCATTCTCCAGCCACTCTACACTTGACAGGTACACAATCGTTCAATCGCAACTCATTGAGGGTGCTTGCAAAACTAGAAGTCTCCCATGGCCCCAATGGCATCCGATTTGCACCTTCCGCTGTGCACACCTGGGAGCCGCGGATCCACTGGTGTAGCAAAGTGCAGGTTGGCACGCCATTCTTCAATTACCTGGCGATCGGCTGACAAGCGCTCAACTACTCAAACAGAAAACTGTCTATGACAACCTAGACATACAAAAAAGGATTGGGTATGCCCAGATCTGGCAATGCTGTGCAAGACAACTGCGGCATGATTATTTCCTTTTTCTGGGACATGTTTCTTCCATCTTTTTAGTGAGGGTGATGCTCAAAGCACAGTGCCTGTTGTCACTTGCAAGGTGCAAGATCTTTGCTGTGTCTTGTGAAGATGAGTTCAGCTCAAGCCATCTAGTTCAAAGCGTTATGCTTTCCAAATGTCCAGGTCTGTGTAGATGCAGTTCCAGCTAAATGCATGGGTCAACACTGACACCAGAACTGGGCCCCACCTTTGTCACATTGCCCTGGCTTGCATTGTGCAGGAAGAAAAGTACAATGTCAGGCAGATCTTCGAGGGGCACAGTTTGGATGTATTGCAGCAACATTCGTATGGCCTTGTCCTGTTAGCCAAAATACCCACAGCCGCCATGGCACACTCAAACATTGAATGCATATGTTTTACTACTCATAGCAAGTGTATTAACGACCCCGCACAACTCATTGCAGAACTACGTGGCGCAACCCCACTAAGCTTGGGTATTAGAACGAAATTTCAGTTTGTTTGTAAATCCAAAGCCTACACATGGAGTTCCCCTCAACAAAAGCCAGCAATTGCTTCCTGCCTTGTCGGCATCATCCACACGTACAAATGCCATTAGTCTGCAACCTGTGCTGCACACAGCTACAGAGAACAACAATTGGGACAATCCTGTGCCGTGAAGCTCCATATGGGCCACCAGTTACTCAACTGGTCCATCACCCCCCAGCCCCATGAATCAACACCAACTCGAGGCCAAAAGCTGCTTAACAATGGGAACATGTTCAGCACTTGAACAGGTTGACAAAATGTAAAACAACACAGGGACATACTTGCAACTTCTCTGAAAGGCCCAATTCAGCAACTGCATTGGCAGCAGGCATAATGAAGGCACTGTCTTCGTGGATCATGTTTTCCAGGAAGTCCACCAGTCGCTATACGGAAAGCACATGCTTCTGTCAAATCAGAGGCACAATGCCAACACCAACAACAACTTCCACATTCTCTTCCTGAGTGGCAGGACAGATGGTTTAGGGTTGGAAGCTGCTACAATGAGGACAGCACATGTTGCAGAATCAAATTACTGCCTGGACAGATATAAGTACCAATTGGTTGCCAATATGCACTACCTATGGTATTCATGCCAACAGTGTTTAGTGATTCGTAGCAGCACTTGGCCAATCACTGCCCATTGGGTCACAACCATAAATCGATGACAGACTACTGAGCAGAAAGCAGCAGTGTCTGACACTAGTGGCCCCTCTCCAGAGCAAGAGATGTGATGGAAGAGTCTTCTCCACAAGGCAAGCTTACAGTAGAAGGTCTTGAGAGTGGCAATGCAAGAGAGGCAATAAGCCATCAAGTCAGTCTCAAGTTCAGACTGCGAATCACTAGCCTAGTTGCTTCAACCCAACAAGTGTGACCGTATAGTCCAGTCCTTGATGCTTTCTTGTGCTTATTGCCAACACTTCAATGCCCACCTCGTGGTCATCACTGGTGACAATTTCCGGCAGCAACTCCACAAGTGACCTCTGGATTTCCCCTGAACATGCTGGCATCACCTCAAACACTTTGTCCACAAGGTCATGTGAGCCACCAGCATGATCAAGCCTGTTGCAAGAGAGCAGAGACGGCAGGCATCAGCACAAAGGGGCCCAGGTGTAACCATCAAAATACACATTGAGTGCCCAGGAGATCCCATCGATCTGCAATAAATTATGTTGGGTTGTCTCAGTTCCATTGGATGGTATCCATGCACCTAATAAGAAATAGATGCCCTTCACATGAAAATTTGCAACATTCACAACACAGCCTCACGTTACAGTAGACATAGGTGGCCACACATGCTTTTGTCATCTTCATTTTAATTGCCTTATCAACTAGCAGACCAGCACAGAATGGTGCAGCAGCACTGTGCAGCGCATGCTGTCAGGTCATATGTCGATCATGCTTCAAAGTGCCTGCTCACTCAGGTCAAATGCACACTCCAAACTCCATTTCCCACAGGAAGACATCCTCATACCTATACAGGGACTGTTTTGTCTTTGTTAAGGGGGGTGAAAGGCATATCTGCTAAGGGGTATATTATGAGCAACATTCATGCAGGTATGTGTGGCATCACCATTTGCACCAGAAGGCATCAATTGCAAGGATGCTTCCAGGAATCGATGGCAGCATGGCCTGCCAGCAAACTCACCATCTCAGTTGCCCCAGGATCAGGCGGGGAACAGAGTTCTCTCCATCGGTGCTGCCATATTCTGCCAGTCTTTCAAGAAGTGTGAAGCAGATGTTGTTCTTGAGCACCCCGACACCCATGAGTACCCGCAGGAAGCTGTCGCCAGTGCTGTACACTCCCTGTCAGTAAGAGCATTCGTCAGCAATGTCGTCATAGCAATGTCAGAGTCCAGCAAAAAGAGCTACAGAGGTGGAACATCGGCATGACACCCTGTTGGAACATCGGCACAGTGGCTCGATGCAATGGTATGGAATCTGAGAACCAGACTCCAGCATAGCAAATACTTTCTCAAGAATTCCAGGTGTACATATTCTGTGTGTATAAACTTGATCCTCACAACAACTCTTCTCTGGGTAATCTACACACAATTGGATAGGGAAAAGCCATCTGAACATAAAGCAGAGGCTGACCCCAGACTCTGGCCTATCGCATAAGTTTGCAAAAGGCAGTTCTGGTGGGCTGCATCCCTGTGAAGGTTGAGGCAGATTCGGAGAAGTGGAAAACTGTGTTGAGCACCTGAAGACAGTTGTTCTGACCCCAGACTCTGGTCTATCGCATAACTTTGCAAAAGGCAGTTCTGGTGGGCTGCATCCCTGTGAAGGTTGAGGCAGATTCGGAGAAGTGGAAAACTGTGTTGAGCACCTGAAGACAGTTGTTCATGGGCATAAGGGCATTCAGCAAGGCCTCAGGATCCTCCAAATGCTCCCACAGACCGTCAATGAACTTTTGGCACAGTTCGTCATCCAGGCCAAGCTTCAATTCCATTCTGTTCCGGAATTCGAATTGATCGCCAATGAGGTAGTCCCTCTCTTCTGTGTTTCCCCTTTGCTGGCAGCCAGCCTCGGTCAACTGCACAAAGTCGAGGTGTTGTGACAAGCATCGTCAATTAACGACAAGAAACAGACAATTTATTAGGCACACCGAGCGGTACACAAGAACAGCATCGTGAACAGGGCCAGGTTGCGCCGTCCTGCATAGGTTTTGCAGGCATTCCGCCGCGGCAATTCAGGGTCGAAAATTTCAATCCATTCTCATGGCAAACCCAGCCGCGCCGGAGCTGCGTCTTGGAAAGCACAGCCACCCAGCAAGACCCTGCAGTCATCGCCGAGAAGTCCAGTACTCCATGTCCCCAACGCACCGCGTCGCGTCAAGCGCACGGTCGCAGAGACATATCAACAGCGTCCTTGGGTGAACCCCAGATATTTCCAGTTTGGATTCAAGAGTCGCCCAAGCTGACCGCCGGGAATGAGACAATCATGCCCACCGTCTCCTGGAAATCATCAATGCTGCTTTTGTGGCGGGCCCGCTTTGGGCGTCTCTCGGAAAATGTTGCCCCGGGCATGCGGCGGTGCTTCACACGCCGCTTTGAGAGCCCCCCGTGGAGGAGGACGACCGGAGCGGTGCACGGGGTTCTGTGCGCACAACGGCCAGCGACCCGTCCCGAAAGCTTGGCAAATGGGCAAACGCTGATGTTGGCCCTCAGCAGACCAACGGCGAAGGAGGGCTGGGGGAAAGGGGCGAAGCGGCGCTTTCATTCCATGTGTGCGGACAGATATTGGAGGGGGGGTCCAGATACTCAGTTAGGTGACGTGCCACGAGCTCTGCCATGTGGTGAACAATTGTTGTTGCAATTATTAACCTAGACACTACGTGTGCTGCACAGCGATTATTGACAGGGTGCACGCGCGTGCACGTAGGTAACGCTTTAGTGAGAGCCCCGACGGCTTCCGGAGCAAAGAACTTGAGCGCCCCGGCGCAGTGGGGCCTGCCGACGCGGCAGCGAGGTGTGACCGCGATTTGTCAGGATCGGATAGAGGCTTTTGGCCAGGGACGCCGTGGTCGCAAAGAGGGTTGGTACGGCAGGTCGGTGTGTGAGGTGCGGAGATTGCGTGTGCTGGTGCTGAGATGAAATTGCGGCTTGGGAGGCGGCGACCTGCGCCCAGAAGCAGAGTCGTTCAAGTGAAGGGACGGTCCGCGCGCCGCACGGGGACTGGCGTGCCCAGACGATGACGGCATAATGCGGATGCGCTGGTCACATCCAACAATGCGCGAGCATGCAGTCCCCCATGCCTCCGAGCTTGCAAACCAAAGCTGCTGATGCGAGAAAAGGTGGCCGCAAGCAAGGCACAGGGAGAGCCGTGGCGGCCTGCCTGACCTCGGTGCCAGGACCCACGGGTCGGCGCTTGAAGATGGACGCCGCGCGGGTGCGATTGGAGCGGCAATGACCGGCCTCTGGGGGATGCCTCCCACCAGCCTTCCTGGAGGTGAGGTGGCCGCCCTAAGATCAACTTGCGACCGTCGCCTCTCTTTCAGCGACAGAGGATATGAGCAATGCCAACGCGGTTCTGAGCGTCCTCTGCGCAGCAGCCGCGTGTTTCAGGTCAGCGGCACTCGTCACTGCTGAGGTTGGCATTCTCAAGTGTGTTTGCGTGACCATCGCTGCGCACCAGACCATCAAGCTGTGCGTTGCAAACGAAAATCGCATCTAGAATTTGGTGAGGTTGGCTTTTCTTAGCACCTGCAAGCATTGAGTTGGTCCTGTGTTCAACACACAAGATCAAAGAATTCGCTTTGTAGCTCTTTGAGTTGAGCTGTGCGTTGCACATGCGCGTAGCATATATTGAATTCATAGCTTGAGGCGCTGGAGCTGTCCATCGTGGCACTGAATGGCAGACGGAGGCGTTGGATCAACCCCAAGGTGCATATCGGTGGAGAGGATTGGCTGATGAGGTGAGGAAGTTGGAACAGCAGTGTGACATTCTGACACCCAAAGGTTGGTAAAACTGCTGTCATTCCACAGGTCCCAGCATTGGGCTGGCTTGAAGCTTATGCAGTCATATGTTCAACAGATGAGATGAGAGAAAGTGCTTTGCATCTCTTTGAATTGAGCTGTATACTGCAGATCTTCAGATGGTGTTTGATGCAGAACCTTAACCATTGGTTGTGTTGGAGATTTGTGGTAACAGGTGCCAGGGTGGACTGCCTGTTGGCGTGTTGTTTCGTTGGTTGCACATGGTGAGGAACCTAAAATAGCGTCCTTGCATTCTGCCACCCAGAATCTTGTCATATTAGCACTGCTGTGCAGGTGCAGGCATCGAGTTAGCCTGCAATTCGAATTTGGAAGCATTGAATTTGGAATCCAACAATGCATTCTGTGGGGATTGTGGTTGTTTGTCCAGTATGTTTGCTCGCCTACAGGCTGCCCATAGGCTGTAGTTGGTAAGGCATTGGTTGTGGTGCAGGTCGCTGGGAGCAGGGGTGTGTGCTTGACTGCGTGTTGGTGTGTTCTGTCCTTGCCTACACAAGGTGAGGAACCTGGAACACCAAGTGTGCATTCCGCCACCCAGAATCTACAGAGATTGATGTGCTTGAGATTATTGGGCAGTACTTTTCCATGGCCATCATCGTGCATTGAACATTGGAGCTCTCGATTGCAAACAAACATGGCAATCCCGTTTGGAAGTACAAATGAGCACAACGTTTTTAAGCTCTGCCACCCAGATTGTTGTGAGATTGATGTCCCTCAAATGTGTACTCATTTGAGACGGCTTGCAGCAACGAACGAAAGCCGATGGCCACCGACGCGAGCGATCTGTTGGCCAGCTCAGGACTCCTTCGGGGCAGTCGCTGCTCGTCAAAAGACCGCCGCACGGGGCAGTCGCCGTTGTGCAAGGCCAACGGGCCACAGCGCGGGAAGCGCCCGACCCATTTGGGAGGAGGCCGAAAAGTCCACGGGCGAAAAAAGTTTGCGGGGGCAAAATGTTCGCGCGGAAAAAAGTTCGCGCAGTTGCTTGAGCACGAAATGCGCAAACTTTTTTCCCGCGCAAACTTTTTTACTTATACAGTATATACAATATGAGATTCTATTGGTAAATCGTAGGGGTGGAACCCCACGAGTCATCAAGACTCCACAGCCCGAGAGGGACCAGGTGGTCAAGTTGAGCATTCCGACCGTATGCTCAACGTTACCCATTTTTAGCATATTCAGTCACTGGTTGCACACCAGTTTACACTGGACGCTTGTGCAAACCCCAATGGGGATAACGCTCTCTGCGAGTAGTTTTGCTCAACTTCAAATAACTTTTTGAAACAACCTTTGTATAACAAGTTTGTGTTGATCAATCCACCATTCCAGAATGCAATGCCATGCTTGGAACACTATTTTGCAGAACATGCCAACACTCCCACTAAAAATTGGTGTGTATATATTATTACCAACGTGGTGTTGTTTTATGGAACATCCACGTTTATGTCAAATGCGCACATTGGTACATTACCCCAAGGGGACTAAGCTGTTTATGCGGCTGAATGCAGACCGAACACGTCGCACCAC